AACAAAAGACAATGTTCAAAGAAACTTTTACCTTCTTTATATATTATTCAGAACGAATTCCGTAAAATGAATCAGCAGCATTCGATAAACAAGCTATACATTTCACCATTAAAATTCGAATATTGAATTCAGCCATGCGCCAGGATGTTTAACTTAGAATTACTGTACAAATTTGCAAGTTAACGCCATTTGCACGAATTGCATTTTGACTTAGACGCACTTTTGTTCAGTCTTCAAATTTGTTGGACGGACCTCTTAATTTTTCAACTTAGGTTTGACTTAGTTGGACCATGTAACCGCATATTTATCAGCAAGTAGTGTAATTCTGCGCATGATGCACTATATGTGCAATAATCAATACTAAGTGGAAATGCCATACTTTAGGATTCCTCCTACCTCTTCACGTACAAATAGAAGCTTAATCGGAATACATTTATCTCTAGCAAACAAATAGTTACAATCAATTAAAAGAACCTTGTAAATGAGTCACTGTGAATCGGATGAAATCATGTATTTATTTTGACATATTAGCATCTGCAAGGGGGGGTTGAGGGACCATGCTCCTTCTGAAACGAAGAAATGCCAGTAAAGTTTCTGCAGGCGAGAACCGTCCTACATATTTTGTTCTTATTGAGCAGGTTTTTGACAAGCATTGTCTAATATTATCTCATAGTGATTTTAACTATACATTAACTGGTAAAAAGCACGATCGATAAGGTCTCTTATGTATACCATTCTCTCTAAGCAATGACACTAGTTACAGTGATTTACTGAGAAATTCTATGCGACAAAGGCTAGAAAAAAACTTGTTTCTTAAACATAAATATAGAGTAAAATTGTGCATTAGAGATCATACGTACTGACTGCAGTTAGAGAATCCTAGAGTTTTCGTTTTCGTGCTGCATGATGCAAAGATTGGAAGCCGAATACTCTCTATATTTTTGAACATTGAGTTTACATATAATAATGTTCTGAGATGAACAATTTTGTATCAAGTGTCACTGAGGTAGCTTCGGTATGACAATCTTTGACAAAAAAGTCTGGAAGGGAAGAATATCAATATATTAAATTAATAATGCGCAACTTGGAATTTTTATGTGCAACTGCCTATAAAGAAAAATGAATGGTTTTTCCCGCATAGTCAATCATGTTATTTCTGAGAAGGATTTCTCAATGAGTTTAAGAAGTTTTATTTAGCCGCAGATATCTAAACAGTGGGTCGAAACTAAGGCCAATGAAATTTACCATGTTAGATTAACTTCTTGATCTAGTATCTGGATTCATAGAAGCAATTGTTCATAACAAAATAACTTGAATGTGAGCGCATCCACTTTTAAATCCATAGCAAAACAAGATTTATTTTGGAATGAACTTCCGGAATGTGTCAGACTTCGTTTCGGATGGTACACAATTCGTGACTCTGTTTTCGGCATGGTATGATTTTACTTGTACGTATTGGCAGAAATATAAATGCTATATCAACTTTTGCAGCTGTATTTGTAAAACAGCGAGCACTTGAATCGTGAAGTAATACAGAAGTGATGATGAAGTATAGAAGCTGAACCAGGAGGGGGCGAGGCCTGTGCTTTCTTGATAAATCGTGCTGTTTTTATGAAAGTCAAGTGTGCTAAATTTTATGAGCATTTTCGCT